GTTCATAGTTAAAATAAAATAAAAAATAAAAAAAAAAAGATTTTTGCAATCCTTCTTTTTTCTCCGGCGGCACCAACCTTATCGCCGACATCCTCGCCGCAAGCAACTGCCACGCAGCAGCCGCCAAGCAACAACGACCGCGAGCCCTCCTAGCCGCATAACGTGTTCGAGCCCTCATCGTCGCCGTCCTCGAGAACGTCGTTGAGAACGTGCACGCTGCCATCTACCGAGCCATCCCTGCGGTCGTCATCTCCAGGTAAGCGATCCGAGAATCGTTCCATTCTCGTTCTCCATGGAGTCGACGAGAGAGATGAAGAATATCTTTTACGGAGGATGATTTTGAATTGGAGTATATGTATAGTATATGTACAGTATATGACTCGCGTCCTCCCGAGCCATCCCGCTGTCACTACGGCATTCTGGCCAATGTGAATGTAAAATATACTGTTTTTCAACGTTTATTTGATGTATATTTTTTCATTTATTTGATATAAGTTAATTTATGTTGTTTCATTTTTTTATATTTTAAACGCAAACATATACTGAAAATATACTATTTTTCAGTTTATTTCATATAAGTCAAGTTATGTTGTTTCATTTTTCGACATTTTAAACGCAAACATACACTGAAAATATACTGAAAATATACTACTTTTCAGTTTATTTCATATAAGTCAGGTTATGGTGTTTCATGTTTTGATATTTCAAACGCAAACATATATTGAAAATATACTAAAATATAATATTTATAAATGCAATATACACTGAAAATATTCAATTGACACTAAAAATATACACTAGAAAAAAAAATAAAGACGCACATAACAGAAAAAAAATGAGAGTTCTGTTTTGTTTTTTGCAAACAGTTTAGAAAACATACACAAATCACGCGCACAAAAAGAAGGAGAGGAAGTTCAATTGATATGGTAACTAAAATAGGCATTAATGTAGTTAATTTTATCTTTTAGGTAAATATATAATTAATTTAATGGGGGTGGTATTGTTGCAATATTCTTCATATCAGGTAGGAGAGATGAAAATTTCCCTTAAATATATATGCGATGTGAGTGTATCAAGAAATGTACATTAATGACCGATACATTGCACATCAATGATTGGCGGACTGCACCATATAGCAACCGAAACAAAACTAACTAAATTATTCAGTTCAAAGTTGTATAATAAAGTACAAATATGTATTTACATTAAAATTTTGGTTAATTTAATTTCGACTTTACAATTAAAAAAAATGAAATAACACATCAACCGGACAATATAAAAAAATACTGTTATTTTTTATATATATTTTTCTTTAAATATATTGTTAAATTAAGTCGAAAACAACCACAAAAAAAAATTAACTTATGAATATATTTTTATAATAAACCACAAACAATTTACGGGATTTAAGGTAAATCCGGTAACTAGTTTGATAAACGGATTAATTCACCACAATTATAAGCAGTGCACTTTATATATTAATACGTTGCACTTTATAAAACGACACGTTGCACTTTATAAAACAGCACGATGCACTTTATCACAACACGATAAATTAAAATAATTTATAATTTATATTATAAAATATAAAATATAATATATATTTATAATATAAATTATAAATTATTTTGATTATTTAAATTAATTCAGTTCACCGGAAAAAATAATCTAATTATTTTGGTTTTAGTTTAGGCTTGGACAAAACATTAAATAATATTTGCACTTTTAGTGCTCATTAATTTTAGATGGATTGCACTATATCGATCGAAAATACGACACTTTGCACTTTATAAAACAGTATGATACACTTTATCACAACACAGTGCACTTTATATATTAATACGTTGCACTTTATAAAACTCCACTTTGCACTTTATAAAATAGCACGATGCACTTTATCACAACACGATAAATTATAGTAATTTATAATATATATCATAAAATATAAAATATAAGTTATATTTTATAATATACACTATAAATTATTTTGATTATTTAGATTAATTCGATTAACCGGACAAATAATCTAATAATTTTGGTTTTGGTTTAGGCTTGGACAAAACATTAAATAATAAAAAGTGCACATTAATTTTAGACAAATTGCACATAAATTTCTCTCAAATTGCACGTAAATTATAGTAATTATAATAATAGATCGAATAATATTAGTTGGTTAATGACAGATATAATTTTTTTTTAAATAAAAAAATAGCCGAACATGTTGAACTATATAAAAAAAAATATTACTAATTTCTTTTTTTAATATTTTTTTTACAAATGATATTATTTTTTATTTATATTTTAGTGTACATTAGCGTTGTACGGATTGCACATAAATATCTCTCAGATTGCACAAAATCGAACAACGGCCAACAATCGAAAAAATTATTTTGATTAAATCGAAAAAACTATTTTATATATTTTTACTTTTAATTTTAAAAATATTTTCGATTCGAAACTCCATATGTTCAAATATAATTTTCAAATTTTAAAAGTTCGGTTATTTGTGTCAATGTCAGCTTTAGGTTTTAAAATTTACTTATCACTATTTTTATATTTATTAAACTATTAATAATTTAGTACAAATAATTATTTAATTATTAATTTATGTTATAATTAAAATTTAAAAAAATTACACAATAGTATCTAACATTAACCTAATTTTCATAAACATACCCTAAATCAATTCAACCCCAAATCACTAAAATAACATCACAAAATCAGCCAATTTGACCCAGAAATCAATTACATCACAGAAATAAGCCAATTCGCCCTCCAATTAGCCAATTCGCCCTCCAATTAGCCAATTTGATTACCCCTAAATCAATTACATCACATAAATCAGCCAAAAATACATCACAGAAATCACCAAACTCATTCACACCAAAATTACACTCACAGAAATCGGTCAATTCGCCCTTCACCAAACTCATTCACAGAAAATTAGCCACAATCTATGTATCCTAAATGAAAATTCACCTGTTCCACCTCAGCCATAAAAGCATTTCCGGCCGCCGCATCCAATCTCCCGTTCAGGTCGCCGGCGAGCTCATCCCGTTCAGGTCATCTTCGTCTTCACCACTCGAATCTATTGTCGCCCTCTGCAACTCGCCGGAACGGCTGCCCTCGCCGTCGGTACAATCGGGGAGCTCGAATGGCGGGCTTAGCGAGATTGAGATATGGGCAGGTGACGGTAGTGGCGGTGCTGGGATGGTTGGCGGCGCTCGACGGGATGGTAGCGGCGGCGGAGACGGTTGGGCGGCGACGGGAGAGATCGGGATAATAGCAGTGACCGGTGGTTTGGGGTGGGTTGATTCCGGCCGTGTCTGGGAGGAGGAGAAGGGGAGGGCGCTGACAGGGCTGGCTGACCGCGCTCGCCGGAATGGTAGCGGCGGCAATTTGGGGCTGAATTTCTGCCTTGCCCGCTGGAGTGTGTGTGTGTGTGTGTGAAATTGTGTGTGAATGCGAGAGATGAGAGTAAAAATAAAGTGTGGGTCATGTGGTATATGTGTAATGAACAAATTACCCTTAATTATTGGTCATATATTTGACCACAATAGTTCATATAATTATAAGATTACCATTAATGATTGACCATTAAATATGAAAGTTTGACTTCATTTATATCATTGACTTGATGGATCCAATGATGTAGATTTATTCTTATTTCTCGCATTAAGAGTCATTCTCATATGATCCTTTCTCTATATATAATAACATGAGTAATCTAAAACGGTAAATAATTAGTAAATATAAAATGCAACCTACTGTATTTAAATGGTGTAGTTACATGCTAATTTCATTATTGTTTTGTTTAATTAAGATGACCAGTTATGCTATGAAGCTAACAGTTGGCTCCACAGTGGAGCCAACCTTCTATATACAACAAGTAATATAGAAGGTTGGTTCCACTATGAAGCCAATTGTTGGCTTTATAGCAAAATTGTTAAGATGACTGTCAACACAATGGATTTTTCAACGATAAGACTGCATTAGATAAACCGAGATGATTAATATATGTTGTCCGGAGATAAACATAATGTCAAATTATATGTATAGTGTCAAATTAAAACATTATACTCTATAAATAATACAAACAAAATATTTTGTAAGAGATTTTTTATTAAAAAAATATAACGATTCATAGAAAACAAACATTTGATTCCCAAAAAATATAGTAACAATTAGTTTAGACTTTAGATGTTGCTTGCAACTTTAATTTTCAATTTGTAACAATATTGTTTATATTTTTTAATCTTCATTGAAATTATCCCAAGTGCACCTTTAGCTTTATGTTAAAAATCATGCACATTATTCTCAACAACAAAACTCTGGTGGCCCACAAATTACTAGGAACCTAAAAACATGTTGACCAAATAGTTCAAAACTTCAAACGTTATATATACAAAGGACGCCGTTTCTGTAGAGTCACGACAAATTTGGAGTGCTAATAAAAGTTCTTGTGCCTAGTGAAAAAACTCGATATCGTCTGTTCGCAGAAAAATATATATACTCTGCTCGTACTTTAATCATCAATATCCAAGGGGCTATTTTGGCCGTGGCCAGTGTGGATTGTGTTGGATTCGCATCTCCCTTTGCAAATTACCGGTAAATTTCCAATCTTTTTCTTTTCAGCGTTCTCAAATTGCATTCCACTAAGCGCAGCCATGGCCGGATCCTTGCTTTATTTTCACGGTATCGTTGGTTTTCAGAAGAAATATTTCTCCAGGATAGAATTTAGGGTTTCGTTGATAACCAGGAAGTTTGAGTGATGAGTTGTGATCTTGTTTTTCTTTTCTTTGTGAAGAAAAGATCTGGTGTAAGAGTGGGTCAAGGTGAACGATGCCCCCGCAATTCTCGAATGAAGAGCTGGAAGAGCGGCTTACCGCCGCCGGGAACAGCCTTCTTCAGCCTCCCTCCTCAGTCTTTGAGCTCTTGTCCCTTCTCGACGTAAGCCCCCCTGTCAGCCTTAAATAAATAAATAATGAGACTAAAGATATGATTTTTATTTATTTATTTATTTACGAAGATCTTGAATTTTGACTCTGTTCGTCATCTTAAAGTCCCAGTTTTCCTGTTGGATATGCTTCTTAGAGCAAATTATTAACTGATGTCATTGACATTGTTGATTCCGGTTTCTGGGGCGGGAGCAGTAAAAAAATTGTTTTTACATTCTCTTTGTTTTGAGTTTTTAACTGTTGAAAAGAGTGATGATTCTGCCTGTCAAGAACTTTTTTGTTTAGGTTGATATCAGGTCGTGAATGCGTGAGTAAGTTGCACATTGTTGTATGCAGAGCATTTGCATGCATCTATTTACGGTCCGGATTAAGATGCGTTGTTATCTAAGTTGAGCTAGATTGTTCTATTCTGGTTGTACTACATTTAAAATAAATGGCCTAATGGATCCCACTTATTTTGGTAATTATATTTCAATCAGGAAGTGAGACTTGATACTCGATCCAGTAGATTTATTTATCTTAATGCATGTGTCGTGTTCGTTAACTTTTAGTTCACAGTCTTTTTTCCATATCTGTAAATTGTGATAATCAAAGTGGAATCCTCAATTTTCAAATCCTTCGGCAGTTCTGCATGAGAATCCCTTTAAGTGATTCGCATCGTTAAATACTATTTATATTTAATGTCACGATATTAAGTGCTTATATGGTAATATCGTATTTCCAGAACATCAAATTGTGCATTTAGATATGTTGCTTTTTTCTAAGAGATATGTTGGAATTTCACTTGTATTATTTGGGTAATAATTTATGAATCGTGAATCACGTCATTTGAATGGTTTGATTCCTTTAATTTTCAACACGAAGTTTATCGTTCATTGAATCTGGGACAAGAATAGCCCTACATAACACGGTTCTGGACTTTTTACGAACAAGAAAGTTATTTTGCCACCTACTTTCTTAAGTTTTAGAATACTTGTTCACCACCCAATAATGTAAATGTTCAGTGGCTTGAGCATGAAACATATATGAATACATGCATATGTTGCCATTTAATTCACGAAAAAAAGTTTCGTGTATAAGATACTTCTTTTGTGATCTAAACTAATATTGATATTTACTTTAATAAACCTTTGTTCTTTGCTATTTTCTTAAAGCAAATTGAGGAGCTTCTTTCGAAAGTGGAGCAGTCACCTGCCCAATCCATGCAAACTGCTCTTTCTCCACTAACGAAGGCACTGATCATGGAAGAGCTTGTGAAGCATTCTGATGAAGATGTTAAAGTAGGTGTAGCTTCTTGCATCTGTGAGATAACCAGAATTACTGCACCCGAGGCTCCGTATGATGATGATAAAATGAAGGCGATCTCTCTCTCTCTCTCTCCCTCTCTCCCCCTGTGTCTGTGTGTGTGTCTCATCCCACCAATTTTTAAGTTTTTGACATTTTATATGGTTTCAGGATGTCTTTCAATTGATTGTGTCACCATTTGAGAATTTGTCCGAAACATCCAGCAGATCATATAGAAAAAGGGCCTCTATACTTGAAACTGTAGCCAAAGTCAGGTCTTGTTTGATCATGCTGGATTTAGAATGTGATCAGATGATCAATGAGATGTTCCAACACTTCCTCAAAGCGATTAGGTAAGAGTTCAAATTGCCAGTTGGATACCTTCTTTATAGTTTATTTCTGGTCTCCACAAACATTGTAATTTAAATTGTTATCTATTGTTCTGTTGAATCATATTAATCTCTTGTTCTTTCTGGTTTAAAATGGATATGTCATTTCAGTTTTCAAGTCCATTCTTTCTGCATCATCTTAACTCCCATTTTTGTGGTCGAACCTTCAGTCCTCTTTAATCAGACCACACGTAGAGACATCATGGGTTCTTTGAGTTATAATTGCTACTTTAAAGTGTTGCATGTTAATAGTTTTATCGTGAGTTTGGAATAAACGCAGACATTATCCTTTTGTTACTCATTGATCCATTTGCATTCATCTTTATCCATTTGAAATCTGATATCATTTCATAGCAGTTAAATGAAGTCTTAGAATTAATGTAGGAAACTTCTATGTCATGTTTCTAATTAATATGAATGAATAAGCAACTTATCATGTTGGTGTGTCTAGTTTCTGATCGTGCATGTGACTAAGAATTAATCCATCATGAGTAGTAAACTTTGTCTATATCCTTATTTTCAGAGATTATCATCCACAACTCATCTTTGCATCCATGGAGTCAATAATGACTCTTGTTTTGGAAGAAAGTGAAGACATCTCCCCAGATCTACTCAATCCAATTTTGGCTACCTTGAAAAAGAACAATGAGGTTGATTTATTGGGCCTTCTAAAGAATTTGCTTTTCTTATTTTTTCTTTTTCTCCTCTTCTGTGTTCTACTTGTTGCTGACAAAGAACCCATGCAGAATGTTCTGCCAATTGCAAAGAGACTGGCCGCAAGAGTTATTGAAAATTCATCTGAAAAACTTAGACCTTATTTAGCACAAGCAGTAAAGTCTTTAGATTCTCCTGCGGAGGATTATGGTGAGGTTGTAGATTCCTTGTGCCGAGAGGATACTGATACAACTGGAAATAATAACGAGAGCGTCACAAATGATCCACAGGTATATGTTCGTATATCATCTGTCAGCTTGTTGGGATTGTCCATGTTTCTTTGTTATGCCATGTAATTGTGGTATGTTATACTATAACTGCTATTCTCTCAGAAAAAACTCGGATAATTTTCCTCATGAATAGTGCATGTATAGCCTCTTGTGGTATCATTTAGTTTGATGAGAAAACCGGTCACATTGTCTAACTCAACCATAATTATATGATTTCCTTTCCCTTTCCCATTTTTTTTTTCCTTCCCCGTGCATGAGCATCTATAGGACAGAAAGGATTGTGTTCAATACAATAACTAGTTTTCTAGATCAGTCGACTTCATTTTCGGATTTACCCGTAATTAATTTTCATATCTTGTGCCTAAGATGCATAAATGATGCTGGACGCACTAGTTATGCCTGTGCAGTTATCTTTAAACATTTTTGTCATGTTTTTTTTTTTATCGGATGAATCTTTGCCAGTTACTCCAGCGTTCATTTTTCGTATAAATGAGTAAAGTTTTTCTACCCTTGCCCTTTAAAGTGATGTGCTGCATCTTATGGTGTCTAAGCAGGTGGTTAGGGAAGGTGGGGAAGGGATCGATTCTCAAGAGAAAGATCTCACTTTGATTGAATCGTCTAAGTCAGTAGTTAGTAATGTTCTCAATGAGACTTGTACCGAAGATACTATGGCAGATTCCAATATTTCAAAGGAGGCTAATTCTGACCATCAGATTGATGCCAAATCGGTGTCCAAAACAGAGTCTGATGACTGCAGTGCTCAAAATTTAGAGAAGCTGGAAGCTAATGCTACTGATGCCGAACTTGTTGAAGCTGCCAAATCTCTGAATGAAGTAGAAGATGCTACCAATCAGCTTTCACCATCACATGCATCTGAAAATGAGAATGTTGCATCTCCAGTCCATAGTGTAAGCCTTTCTGGTGAGAGCCGATCTGAAAAAGATAGTCCGGCCAAAGGGAAGGAGGACTTGGTTGAAGAAGTGATAGTATCTGTTGATATTGTTTATAAGAAGGCACGTGCTGGAGGAAGGCGTTCGAAATCAAAGAAGCAGCGTTGGGGTGGCAAAAAGAAGAAATCTGGCAAGAAAACTGTGAAGGATAAAGAATTGACTGGAGAGGGTGCATCCAAGAATGAAGGGACTGCAACAGATTCAGAGACAAGATCACTGGACCAGACTCCTAATAATAAGACGGAAGATGGATCCTCAATGAGTAAGGAAGATGAGAAAAAGAAAGGACATGTGAAGCCTACCTCAGGAAAAGTTCCACTGAAATCTTCTGGGAAAGTAGTTCATGCGAAAGTAATTCGATATTCTACTTGGAATGTTAATTTAGATTAGTTACTTTTTACAGTGATTTTTTTTTTTTTGTCATCTTATGTTCTCTTGTGTGGGTTTTTTGTGTAGGACAAAGTGTCTTCACCTAGGTCGCCTTTAAAGGTATCGGAAGATGAAGGCACAGAGGAAGAAACTCCGAGAACTGTTTTCAAGAGAAAGCGAACTCCCGGCACAGAGAAGGTATGCACTTTGAGTTAACTGCTTCCTCGGTTTATTTTACATTTCATGCTAGTTTAGGTTTCTTTTATGCCATCATTTCATACATTTAATAACAAATAGCAGAATCTGTAACTATAGCTTTTAACTTGTACATGGTGAATGCTCCACACTGCTAACCCTAGTTAAGGATGGAATTAGTCTTTTCATGAATGTAAACTAGGAATTTTGGCAACTTGGGGAACACTTGATCATCCTTTTCTTTAATTTTTTTTTCTCTGTTTTTTCATCACTTACTCTGTTCTCTTATTGTACTCTACTTTGTGGTTTCACAATCCTGAAAGGTTTGTCGTGTTTTAAGAATTTTCTTGACAAGTCATTTCATTTTGTCTGCTTTGAAATAGTTTGAAAATCTTATTTTGAAAAGGCTATGCCATTATTTTAATGAACAAACTATATATTGTCAATTAAGAACGTGATTACAGCATCCGCAGATGCAAACGACATTAATATCATAGTACTGGACATTTATCAGGATTCCTACAAGAAACTAAAACTTTAGACTCCCTGTTACTATCTACACCATGTGCTCTTTTTACAATTGAGCAGACTTTGACATTATGTTGATAATCAAAGTGCTTGATGTTTCTTCCTTCTCAATAGAAAGGCTGATGTTGGGGATGGGGAAGTTCTTGAGGTTTATTGCTGTTGATTTTATGTATTTAATGAGATTGTAAAATTTAAGACTGGTGTAGGGGCAACTATTTAGTCACTTTCCTTATTAGCGTTCAATTACAATTCATTCTAATATTTGTTCGAAACCTGACTTTTCCATATCATGTTGAAGTTTCTTCTGACTGTTCAACATGCACAAAGCTACATTTGCATCTAGAGAAGTTAAATCCATAATCCAATCTTATACCATACAATTTTATCTCTTTTCTGTTTTCTGTATTATGTTTTCCAGGTATCTGGTGATATTAAGCTCAACAAGAGTTTGGTTGGTTCGAAAGTTAGAGTATGGTGGCCAATGGATCGGAAGTAAGTAATTTCTTACACTCCGAATTCTACAGAAAGGTGATCAGAATATAAGAATATTTGCTGCTTATGTAATGTTGTTGCCAGGTTTTATGAGGGCGTAGTTGAATATTTTGATTCTGTCAAGAAAAAGCATAAGGTCAGTGCAAAGCTAGCTTCTCTTTGTTTTTGCTGTTCAGTTTGCCTTTAAAAACCATTTGTTTGATTATGCTGTGATCTTAAATAGGTATTGTACAATGATGGTGAGGAAGAAGTACTAGATCTTGAAGGAGAAAGGTGGGAGCTTATTGAAGATAACTCGGATTCAGATGGGGTATGTAACTTGCTTGTTCTTGTTTGGCTGGCGTCTTCCTTTTATGTGCATTATTTATTGCTAACAATACTTGTAAACAGAATGATGATGCTGAACATTCAAGTCATGATACTTCATTGGAAGTGTAAGTTTCTGTATAATATTATTCATTTATTATTTGAGATTTGCAATTCTATAGATTTGTTGCTTCTTGCTTCATAGGATGAAAATGTGGAACTATGTAGATATTTACATGTCAATGTAGCATTTGGGTTGTTGTAAATATGGGTTACAACAACAACAACAACAACAACAACAACAACAACAACAACATACCCAGTATATTCCCAACAGGTTGGGGTCTGGGGAGTCAGTTGTACGCAGACCTTACCCTTGTAATTATACAAGGGGGCTGTTTTCGTAGCGACCCAAGGTGCATTGCGCCGTTTGATATATTTTTTTTTTCTAGAAACTTCACTAATAGAAGAAGCACTAGAATTTAATTGAGTCATTTTGATCTAGTCCATTATTAGCACTATGCCAGGAGAATTGTCAACAATGACTCTTCCAGCTCCATTTGCAATGGACAAAAATATGGGTTATGGGTATTAATTTTAAATCATCACTGTTTGCGCTTCTTATTATTGGAGAATGACAGAATCTTTGTAGGGTGTTGCTAAATTTTTGGTTTCCTTTAACCAGGCAAAAGAGGAAGAAAGGGAATACAGATTCAGAAGCATCGAAAAGCAAACGTCAAAAAGTGAACAATACACCAAAAAGGTTTCGTTTCCTTATGGCTGCTTCCTGTATATGTTATTTTGGGATCATATGGCTAAACTGACAAGAATTACAAATTGCGTTTTCAGTAATCAGAAAGACAGTGCAATAAAATCTGGGGGCAAGGCATCTGGTAGTAAAACCAAAAGCAAATCTGGTAAAGCATCTAGTGGTAAAACCAAAGATGAATCTGTTAAAGCATCTGGAGGTAAAAACAAAGACAACTCACCAAAAACCCCAAGCCATCCTAAACAGGACAGTCAGAAAACTGCCAAGTCTAAAGGTAAAACCCCACAAAGTGGGAAAAACCTTAGTGATGATGATGGTGCCATAATGACAAAAGTTGGTTCATCAAAGGCAAAAGAAGCTGGTCAGAAGAAGGAAAAACTTGCTGAGATGGCAAAATCATCAGGACCGACGAAAGGGAAATCCAAGGATTTTGCAAAGTCACGACAAACTGAGGCTAAGAGTGGAAAGAAGCGAAGAAGGTGAACTATCAGTTGGATCTAGTTTGCAGCCTTAGATTATGTTTAAGTTCAGACTTTTGGCACTTTATTTAGGTTGTTTTCGTGCTAAATTTAGGCTCCGGTGTTTGAATATGTACGTACTTAAGCAGTGCCCTAATATTTTCGACATTTGTGTTGGTTCGTGCTAGGTTCACTTGGCATTTTGTTTATATATCCCATAAATGCGATCACCCCCATATTTGCCATTATCTTTGTGTGACTGAAGCGTTTATTCCTTGTATTTTTCTTGTTTACTATTTATTCGAACAAAATGCAGCAACCTCCTTAATAAGGTTCAGTTGCTTGTGTGCAACAGCTAAAAAAGTGTGACAAAAAAAACCCACCAACTTAACATATCAATCAGTGGTGTCCAAATTCTCTTACAAACAACACAATGCTTCTCTTAGTAGAATCTCATAGTTCAAAGTAAAGTTTTGATAATACATGTAACCAGCTTGAATGTTGAATCTTGCTTTCTATAATTTCAGGGGCTGTGAGAGGCAAAAAAATTGTAAATAATTCCATTACAAACATGGAGAACTACAAAATCCTGTGGCAAAGCCAAAATAGGGTATGTACAAACAAACAATTCCCTAAACCAAGATACTTGAGAAGACTACCTACTTAGTCCACCAGTAAATTAAAATTAGAAACATGCAGGCGGATGCAACTAACGAAAGTATGATGGTATCCATCGACTTCTTCTTCTTTATTGCTGAGAGTATGTGATTCACCTGCAAAATTTCAGAGGTACTAAATAAGCAACTTAGATAAATTATGTACTCTACAGCATCTACGTACTATATTTAGATACTTCACAAGTGCACGGATGAAGTAATTTTTTAGCTCTGTTGTGTAAAGCATAGCATGTGATTAATTCCCTTACCGTTGGAAGACGGCTGCTGACATTACTAAGCTTTGAATTGATACCCCCAAATGTGGAACGTTGGAAGACGAGGGACTTTAAGGTCTCTTGTGCTTGTGATATCACCGAATCCATCTACAGAAATACAATATGTTAACTCGAGCAAGATACATATGAAACCATTCAGAAAATAGAAACTCGTCCAGTAAGCTATTCCTAGGTTAAATCTAAAACTAAGTGTACACAATGCTGAGCGACTGTAAAATATTATGCAAGGAACGCCTAGCTTATCTGAAGCACGAGCATCTACAGAGCTTCCGATAAAAAATATATGCTCTTAATTTCCTGTCTGAGAACATTTCATAGCAGTACTGAACTATGGGTTTACCCACTTTCAGTTCCCTATATTTGAGGGGCTAACAGAAAGTAAAAGGAAGAACATGAGGCCTGGCAATTCTTAAGAACATACGTGGCCTCCTCACTTGTGGGAATACAGCTATCCACAACTATGGCTCTCCTTTATTTTATCAAGCATGATGCACAAATATATCTCAACTTTCATTACAAATACCCAGTATTTCCACATTGGATTTTAAAACATACCAAGTTAGGTTGCCAGAGAAAGCTAAGCTCTCTAACTTTTTCCATATGGTAAAGTAGCTTTTTCCAGATGCAACACACTTCAGATAGAGATTATTTACATGTTCTAGTGACCATATTATTTGTATTTTATAAGTGAGATGAGATTTCTATATGTGGTTAAGCTCTACAATCATGCTCTTTTTTTTTGTGGCAGATGAGAAGTTCTCTTGAACCCAGACCACTTCACCTACTTTCACAAAATTCGTGCACCAATTTAACTGTTTGAAACTCACTTCCAGTGATTTGACCTTTGATATTTCACTACGTAGACAAATAAACCAGATTAAGTATTACCTGGCCAGTACTTCTATGGAGAGATGCACGCTCCTTGATAAGAGATTGTTCGTAGGAACCATTACCCTCTTCAAGGTCTAATCTTGTACGATCGAACTCCCTAAAATCCTCAAGCAGTGAGGCATGCTCTTTCTTAGCTCGGTGACTGGAATTAAGTCGATTAAACTCCTGCAGACCAACAGCAAATGTTTGCTTTCTGAAATAAGATCAGTATAAGGCAATTTTTCAAAGAAGTATGGGGAGTTCACATTGGTATGGCTCAGAAGACACCATCTAACTAGAGTTCAAGCAAATTATATTCACATTGTTATTCACGCCCTCAGCTAGCTTTCCATGACAGAATTCAAAGACACATGGTGCATATATATGCCTTCAACAAATCAAATATTTTCATTTGTTCCAGCATCAGCACCCGCTTGAACGCCCACTAACACAAAAGAAACATACAATACTTGTACGAACACCCAAAAGAAAGAAAGAAAGAAAGAAAGAGAATGTGTTATTAGCTTCCAATTACAGACTCCAAGCATTTTGTTATCTTGTCAAAGATTGTTAACCTGGGTAAGATCCTGAAGAATCTCCTGATGCCGTGTCAACGTATGAGAAAAGATTTCGGACCCTCCAGATGAAACCCAAGCTTGCATTTGCATGTTTACTTGTTGAAGCTGTTTTAATAGCTGACCGATTCCGGACTCCACGCCATTATCATTAGAATTATCAACTTTTGCTGACACCAATTTACGATATAAATGCATCTGCTCATCCAGCTGAGCCTCAAGCTTCCTTGCCTGATTGAAACACAGTAAGAAGAAACCACAGGTCCAGAACAATCCAAATAAAGAGGAAAAAAAAAAAGAACAGATCACATGTCGATTTTACACAAGTTAATACATTTAGCAAGAACGAAGCAATAATCTAAATTGCTGCATCATAGAAAACTCGATCCAAGATCAAATCAAAATTTAAAAATAACAAACAATGCCGATAATTGGCAACAGATTTAAGATGGTCCCACATAACATCAATCTAGATTATCAATTTTGCATCATCATCCGATTGCACGGAAGTTCCTTTACAGAGTAGGCGATAAGCCAAGCCCGGGAACGAGGAGTGCCTAGGATTTGATATTCGACACAGATTATCTGTCTTGGCGATGGAAGCCGTAAAGTTGAAACAGATCGCGAGGAATCGCGCGCGCAACAAATGCAGAGAGATGAAGAATAATTTCCATACCTGTTTGCGCAAGGAGTCCCAGGAGGTGGGAGGAGGATCCATTTTCCGTCTCTCTCCCCCACCAAAATTCACCGCCGTGCTGTGAAGCTAGCTCAGATGGCGACGATATATCGATACCTGCGCGTGGATTATAAGGAAATATAAGCGGAATTTGGGATGAGAGAGAAGGAAATTCGAGAAAATGTGAGAATGAAGGAAGCAAACGAGGTTTACTAATAATAATTTACTCCTTATGAATTCTTAATTAAATAATTTAATTAAGAAATTATAATTTTAATAAACAAATTATCAATCAATACCTTCTCACTTTTTTCCGCCCGTTGGTTGCAATCTATTTTGTTGCCCTCTCTCTTTCTATATACATACATATGTGTGTGGTAATTCGGTATTTTAAATGTCGAATATCATACTTTACTGGCCTTAGCTATTGATATATGGTATTATCGAATCAGCCAGTAATACCATTGATGAATATAATAAAATATTTAATTTTTAGTATTAATTACGAAAAAATAAAAATTAGATACATTTACTTTCACCTTTCCAATAAAATATAAATAAGACTTCAAATTAAAGTTTTAATTTTTAAGTCAATAATTAAAGTTTCTTTTATTTTATATATATTTTCTTAAAATTTATTCTTGACATGTATTTTATCTGGTATTTATGGTACATTTACAGTGCATTTCAATATTACCGGCATGTACATTCGATATTTATAGTTCGGTTAACCTAATTAAAAACACAACTAATAGTTTATAAGTAAATATTGAGTTTGCTTATAGTTGATGGATGAAAAATAATATATATTAAAAGTGGTTGAAGTCAAGTATAATAAAAGTGATAAAAGTAATTGATAAGTAAGTTGAAATAAAATTTTCAAACGATAAAATATATATTTCAAAAAATGTTATATTTGTGATCCGTCGACAACTAAAGATGAACATTACATTTGATAAAAATAAAAGTTCATTTATTGTTTTTTTAATTTTTTTTGTGAACACCAACATAGCTAGTCAAGCATTGTTTAATGATTGTACCGAAAAAAAAAGCATTGTTTAATGACGATCAACTAACATAATTAGATTAACATGAACATGTTCTTTGTATATGGCAATTGGCATCCCTCAATTTTTATTTCTTTTTGGTTTTCAGACCTGAACACATTTGGTATATTTTGATGCGTATCTACACAAAGGGACCGATTTTTGAGTTGGAACCGTGGGTTGACACATGAACCGATCAATCCAGAGATCCAGCCCGGTCCAAGTTGGTCACTCCAACTAATCTACAATCTGACCGATTAAATCCAAAGAGATGCATCAAAGCCCGATCAACTAAGTACTCTAGCATTAACCCATTCGGATCAAATCGATTGTCCCAAACGATTTTATTTTTTCATTAAATATTTAATTTTTAATATTAAAAAATAAGTATATATCTGCAAACATTTATTAAAATATATAGTAATATTATACTTATTTGTCAAACATTTATTAAAATATATAGTAATATTAAAATTTTGAGGTATATAATTTATATGTTACTTATTTATCTTTAATATAGGTATGTATATTTATTTAAAAAAGTTTAGATAAGTTTTATATTTATAAAATTAATTATCTGGTTCAATAAATAATTTTCTGACTAGAAGGTTTAGATTTTAGAATAATACAAAAATAGCGACCACCTGCAAGCACTTGTCCAGTGTATAAAGTATCAAGTAAAATCACTCAATAATAGTTTAGTTACTAAAGGAAAAGGTTTTACACTGATCATCATCAATATTGGCACCACCCACAGTTAGTCAAGGTTTTAGACTGATCACCATCAATATTGGAACCATCCACAGTTTAGTCAACTGGGATGGGTCTTCCAGTCTGACTAATACAACATGAAAATATACAATCCCTCACACCGAAAATTAACCAAGACAAAAATCGGATTTTTTCGAGTTCCCAAAATGCTGCAACCTTGATGCAAAAATAAACCAAGATATGTAGTTCTTTTTTTTCTTTTGTCAAAGAGAATTTTTCTGGTGAGAACATATGAAAACTCGCCTAGTCCATGGTGATGAAGTTAACTTCAGGGACAGTCAGTGCTATCCTTCATCTCGACATCAACAGTTGCTCCATTTGATGATGATTCTCCAGCCAAATTGCCGACTTTTTTATCGCTTTGAGTTGATCGCTCCAGAGGAGAAATTTGCTGGACTGGTGAGAGTATTTTGTTAATCTCTTGATTAAATGTTTCAAGGGTTTCGAGATTCCTCTTCAGTTTCGAACTTGGAGCTGCATCTGCCGAGGCATTATCTGTGGTTATTACGTTAATCTGCGAAAAAATGGAAACAATCAACCATATTACATAATTAATCAATCACACGTCCCCGTGGTTGGATTATATCTGTAGCTTGTGTTCACAATTGACCTCATTATACAGCCTGGCCATATCAAGTCGATGTGTGTCTTTGTCGCAAGAAAATGCTGAAATTTCTCCAGGAGCTGCATTTAGGGAAAGAAAATGGTGTAAATAGGTCACACAGATTGCCACTAAACAAATAACAAGTGGTACGTCATCAACGTTGCATTCTAGATATCTTTGAGGGTTTTCTTAAAATAATGGTGGTATTGGGACAAAGATGGAAACGTAAGTCAGTCAAATCATATTGTATTCAATTGTTTCAAAGGTAGTTATTAATTACCGTTTTCATCAGATTCTTTCGTTGTGAAATAAATCCCAAAATGACGGTCAATCTTACTAGCCATTAAATGGAAATTTAAAAAAAAAAAAAAATCTCTAGTGATTACATTAACCCTGGTTAACCCAACCTGCAAACAGTCACATAAAGCAAACTCTACCACCAAATACTCAAATATCCAAGTGCACACCAGAACTTTAAAAGCTAAAACTCTTTTTTGGCACAATTAACTGATATAACTCTTTAGGTTATTGATTTCCGTAGAATCTTTGGAAATTGGTAAAGATACTTACAGATTGTTTCAACTTGAGGCAATTGCGCAACCATGGCTGGATCTGATGCCTTAAAGCTCGGATTCTTTACCTCAGTGGCCTTGTGCCCTATATCATTGTTTGCAACGTCATCTTCGCTTTCACTATCCTGAAAAAATCAACTTGTTCAATAAACTTAATATGTGGTCCTCTGTATCTATTGGATATCAAATTAGGAATCAATTAACAGGTGCATCCTATAACTCAGACAAAAATTTGTATCCCATGAATTACCAAACCTAGTATAGGAGTAAATAAAAAGGACACTAGAGCCTAGAATTACGAAAGTAGCATTTTAATCCTGCTATTCACCTTTCTAATATTGCAACTACCACCTTACAGAAAATCTGGAAGGGACTTACAGAATATATCTTCTCGAATTCCGCCACAAGTCCCTTCTCTAAAAGTAGCACCCTTTTCTTAATAAATTCAACTAGTCTTCTCTGCATCTCCCTAAAATGAAACATCACTGTCTGATCTTGCACAAGTTGCGCTCGGCCAGTACTGTTATTAAGAACATCAGTAGTTTCCTTTCCAGGGGCTTCAACATGTTCCAAGTTGATACCGTTTTGTGATTCAGATGAACCAGAAGTAGGAACATGTGGTTGAGAAACACCAGAAGTAGAGGCTGGGGCCTGAGAAGTTGCTGAAGCAGAATTCTGTGATGGAGCTCCTATGCCAGGTGTATTGACAAAAGGAAGATTCAGCTCTTGACAGATAACTTCTTGTATGTTCAATCCCTTGTCGTCAACAATTGCTTGCCATCTTCCAAAACCGTGTCTTGATGTTCATACAGCAAAAATTGATGAGTTAGCAGAATTTATAAACCTACTATTCATTCACGACAGGAAACCTTCCTCAATCACAATAATTATCCAGCAAGGAAGAAACTGAGAAAGAGTTTGTTTGGTTATGGTTCCACAACTAACATCCAGTGTTGGAAAATTGTAACTTAAGAATTCACCAGTTTCTATGTGAAAATTGTTTGGATAGTTAGTTTTGTACGAGTCTTCTGTGCAAATTATAACTTGGAAGTTGCTTGTGGTGGTCCACTTTTATTATGTAATTGTGGAGAAATGATTGAAAAAATGAAGTTGATGATATTGCAAAGGGACAAAGTATAAGCAAAATGATTCGATTCATATGAACAATCTGGAGATGAAATCAGAACCAAAATACATATAAAAAGAACCTCTATTTTTAGGCAACAGTTTTGACATTTTTTAGGATAGAACCAAATTTTTCAAGGGAGACAATTTCACAATAATCGTTGACCCTTTAAAACACTTCATCTACACCATTGAGTTAACTATTTTTTCTTTTGTCCGTAGTCATAAAACTTAAGATCGATGAGCAAGAGCTAAAGAGGGAAAGGTAGCATACTTCCTTACTGCTTGCAGCAGCACCCGATCATGGTGCTCCTTCCAAAACCTTCCTCCTTTCAGTCCTGGGTAGCGGGATAAAATATCATCCGTGAAAAGGACAGAACCCTTTGATAAAGCCTCCAACTGCCAACCAAAAGATGCTCCGTAAAATTTAAAAAAAAAATATATATCAACCTGACAAGAAAGCTGGATTTCATACTAAACGTCTGGCAACTATGCAAACATGACACCGTGTATGTAAATGATAGGATACAACAGCTTATCTCAAGGGTATGAGACAGACACCTAAAAGTTTGTGAAAACAAGAAATTGCAAGAAATAGACAAACTCGTAGCCCATTATTACAGGACAAGTTAATCAAGATGAAAGTTATTAAAGACGCAGGAACAAGGAAATCATGCCAGTCCACTTTTCATAATGTTCTACTATTGGATCTAGAAGAAATNAAAAGGAATTTAAAACCTACTTAAAAATATAGAAGTCTCATGATAATCTGCTCAGTAAATATTAATTAATAAATATCTTAGTAAAGAATCAACTAGGTCAGACATGCATCCTATCAACACTGCGCATTCACAAGTTTAAGCAGAAGATCACAGTTTCTCCTCCATATCCGACGAAACACGAGTCAATACTAGAAGTATTACAGAAACCCGGTAAGACGAAACACGAGTCAATACTAGAAGTATTACAGAAACCCGGTAAATAGTGCCTGGATATTGAGTAGCAATCATAAAGTGTTGAAATTAAAACTCTTGCAGGCTATTACAGAAACCCAGTCCTAGTCTTGAGTAGCAATCATAAAGTGACGAA